CGGGTTCTGCGCATTCTGCTCGCGCTGCACAATCTCCCTCTCCCCGCTCTGCGCGCTCGGCCCGAGCAGAGCCTTTTGCCCGTTCTTCACGTGAAAGTCTCGCCGGATCTCAAACTGGCGAGCCTCGAGTTCGGCGAGCGACTCAAGCGTGTCGATGTTCTTGATCCACTTGCGCAGCTGCGTCTGCGGGGCCAAGTGGGGGCGGCGATGGATCGCGCGAGCGGGGCCACGAGCAGAACAGCCGCAGAGATGCTGGGGACACTTTGGACACGGGCGCGAGAGCGGGCGAGTGCGTGAGCGGGGTGGGGCGTGGGGCGAGGCGTGCACCGGCTCGATGCCCGGGTGCTCGCGGCACGTGGGCTTGATCCGGCAGGCTTGTGGGCGGGCCAACGCCTCACGCACGACCCGCAGCTTGTACTCTGCAGAGTACATCGTCCGCGACCGGCGCTGCCGCTGAGGCTCGATCGGCATCGCGTGCTGCTCGAGAACGGGCATCCCGGGCTGTGGCTCGGACAGCATGACTCGCGCTGCGTGGCGTCCCCCGCGGTGGGGCGACCAGAGCAGGGAGGCGCAGCGGCGCGCACAACCCCCTGCAACAGATCCCAGAGATGTGGTTATCCCCCCAAGATGTGTATCACACGTCGAAGAATTCTTTTTGCCCACAGAGGTCCAGTCGGCGCCGAGCCAAGGAGCTGCGCGGAGCCGCCAGGCGCCCGCCCCGGCGGCTCACTCGCACCGCTCGTTCACCGCCGGGGCGGGCGCCTGAAAGCGCCGCTGCGCAAGTGCGCAACAAACCCGAGGCGCACAGCGTGAATGAGTATTCTTATACGAAACCACGACGACACACACCAGTCGACTCGCATCGGTTGCCTCGGCATGAACGGCGGAGCTATTCTCGCGTCCACACGACACGGTTTTAAGAATTTTTTTCTGTGGCGCCGGATCCCAGATGGTGAAGCCAAAGCGCCGCGCGGTGAGCAAGCCTGCATCCACGACCTATGTCTCGAACAGGGAGAGGCCTGCGCCTCCTCCACAAGCTCCTCCCCCGGAGGAGCCACATTACACTGAGTGGAAGGGGGAAAGGTGGATGGAGAGCCTTCGCCCTCCGCGTGGCGCGCACCCCTCGGTCGGCGAGTGGCCGCCGGACAAGCAGTGGCTGGAGATGGGGGAGCAGATGGTGAACATGCGCGGGCTGGACATGTTCACGATCGTGGGCGAGTTCAGCGCCTGCTTGATGCTCGGCATTCATCTGGGCGGAGAGGATGA